GGTACAAGGATACCCCAGGACTAGGACCGAGCAGCAACCAGAGCAAAGAAAGGCCCTTCGGGTACTCGCCTGAGCCGAGCCCCCAGGCTGCAACACTTCGGGGCCGCGTGGGCCTCACCTCCCTTTCCCGCTGCGCTGCGTGAGGCGAGCTTGACGCACCCGAGAGCGTGGGACTCAGCCACGCCCACCCAGCCCCTCCGCTTCCTGGGAAATGTAGGCCGATTGCAGAGCGGAGGCCCAACCGGAAGCCTAGCTTCTCTGCATACTGGGAGTTGTAGTCCACCGCTACAAACCCCGCCGGAAACAGGAAATTTAGCAGGCGAGGGAATTCAAAGAAGCGTTTTCACTCCATGAGGCAAGTCGGGAATTGAAGGCTGACACCAGGTGCACCCTTGCGCGTGCGCAACGCAAAGGTGACTGGGTATCGTAGTCCCTAGAGACGGGAGCTCCATTTTCTAGGTCGTTGCAAAGATTTCTTGTAAGGCAAAGGGCCTCCTCCCTTTCCAACCGAGCCTGCTGATAGCCTCCTGCCCTTCCCTGTTAGAGGGGCTAAAACAGACTTCCATATTATCAGAGTACTACTAGGAGTGGAACGAACCCCTTCAATATGAATAGGTCACAAAATGTCAGTTTGGAGGTAACCCTAGGGATTATCTAATTATCCATGTAAGGGATGAGAAGGCTGGAGTCTGAGAAAAAGAAAGCGTGTCTCAAGGCAGAATCACTTAGCGGCACTCTGGTCAGGGAGTACTGTGGAGGTTCCACATAGCAGCCTCCCAGCCCCAGTGAGGGGTGCTGGGTATCCCTAGGCCTGTCCCTGGGATCTAAACGGTTTTTACCACCAGCATGGCTGCCTCACTGCGGTGTTTGATACTGGCACCCTCCCACACACCACTCCCGACGACTTGTATAGTGGGGTAATTGTTGGACTACTGAAAGATCAGTGGTTTGAACCCACTAGCAGCTCCGCTCCGCGGGGGTGGGGTGGGGGGAGGGGCCTGCAGTCCACTTCTGCACAAGATTTACAGCAGCGCTGGAGGCCCTACAAACCTGTCCTGCCATGTCCTGCCCGAAGAGCAGGACGGCAGGGACAGTGCTAACCGTGGCAAGCAGAATGTCTGGTGTGCATCTACGCTGGGGTTCTGCCTTCCTCCAGAAAGATGAATCTCTACCTTCCAACTGAGATGACCTGCAAGTCTCATGTACACCCTGGCCCCTCCCACCCCAGTTCCCTCTTCACGTAACCAACATGCCCGAAAGAACCAGTCAGAAACCAATATAGTAATCAACGGGTTTATTTTCCTAGAACTGAAATTGTCTACGGTTCTCAGAGCTAAACTTTCCCAAAGCTACAGTCAGCAATTTTTCATCAGAGCCCAAGAAGGGGGGGAGACGAGAGAGGGAGAAGCATGGAGACTCTAGGAAGAGGTTGGGAGGGGCAGTTATGTCCCTCTGACCTCTCGAAGGAGGTTACACATCAGATCTGCTAGCACGCTGAGGGGACCAAGGCACAGGTATGTGGATGGGGAATGGCCCAAGTCCCGGCTAGAAAAAGAAAGCCAAGTCCCAAAGAGATGAGGAGCCTCCCAGTGCACCTCAGAAATGGAGGACAATGGGGGGAGAGGAGCAAGTGGGGGCACTCGAGGGGGCAGGGAGTCTTTAAAATTTTTTTTTTTGTAATTTTCTTTTTTAAAAAACATTTCCTAAAAAATGCATCTTTTCCTTTATATCTGGGTAATTCATATGCCTGCGGGCTGGCCTTGCGTGCTTTGGGGGAGAGGAAAGAGGGCAGCTAGGTTAGCCCTGGGGCATCCCCCACGCTGGCCCCAGGGATTAAAGGGGGACAGGTGCTCTTCGCCTATGATTCCCAGAACTTCCTGGGTCAGCAGAAGGAAGAATGGCATTGCCCACTGGAAGGGAGCCCCTCCCCCATAAGCTGCCCCACTTTCCCTGAATCTAGGCAGCTGGGGTAGCAGGTGTGTGAGGAGACGGGTACTCAGGAGATGCCACAACCTGCACGCCTGCCCTTCACCCGGCCATGATTGAAGACTGCCCGCCCTCGAGCCCCGCAGATGCCCACCCTGATGTTTACTCTCCAGCCCTGCCCCTCCTCCCCCTAATCCCGACCCAGACTCTCAGCATGCCTGGGGGAGCCAGACAGAGGTGTCAAAGCCGACCAGGGACTGTCCTGGAAAACAGCTCTAGCAGGGGAGGGGTCCGGCCTCATCTCAGTCCCTGGGGAGCAGAGGACATGGCCCTGACTCAGATCACAGGGATGTGGAGACATGGAGGTGAGAGCCAGGTGGCCTGTCCCACCCAAGCCAAATTCCAGGGGCTAGGCTCAGAGTGGGGAGAGTGAGTGGAAGAGGGGGGTGGGGCGGGGTGGGGAAGGGGTTCCCAGTTTGCAGGCCATGGCCAGTTTCCCCAGTAGCACCCAGACAGCAGCAGGAACGGGGCGGGGGCTCCTCTTGAAACATTGGTGGCTACAGGCTGCAGGGGAGGGTTGGAGGGAGAAGGGTTAATGATGTGGCCCTGGCCTGGCCTGCCCCAGCCAGTGCAGGTCTCCTGGGAGCACCCACCCTGCCTCCCTCGAGGCTGACCACTGCTGGCCCTCCTCTTCTCTCTGCAGGTGCCTGTCCCCCACCCCCACCCCGGCTCAGCTGCCAAGGGGGCAGGGGGCTCGCTCACCTCTCGTGATCTCTGATGCCTGGGGCCTCAGCATCTTCCTTGGCAGTTTCTTCCTCCTCATCATCCTCCTCCTCTTCCTCATCATCCTCTTCCTCCTCCTCCTCCTCCTCCTGAGGAGGCCCCCGGCCAGAGCCCGGTTCAGAGGGGGTGCTATTCTTCTCGACCTCCACAGAGAGAGGCCTCTCCTCGCCCTCCAAGGCAGCCGCCTCCTTCTCCTCCCCTTCCAGGTCCTCAGCCTCCTTGGGACGCTTGGGGGAGTCCTGGGCAGCATGGGCAGAGACAAGGCGGGCTGAGGCCAAGCACCCAGACCTCTGGCTCCTCCCCCAAGGTTCTTCCTGGGCTAATACCCACAACTGCCCCCAGCCTTCCACTAGCTGGGATGCCCTCTTCGGACACGGTCTCTCTCTCATACTGGGTGCTCTCAAAGGCTGAGCCTGCCCCTGTGGGCTGCAGGCCACTGACCTCCAGCAGGTCCCCTGCTCTCCTCTTCAGAGCCCCCTTCTCGTTCTTCTCCTTGGTGGGCTCGTCAATGACCAGCTTCCCCTCCTCATCACTGCTGCCCTCCGCATTCCCCTTCTTGTCTCCATCACCCTCAGCGGCCTCCGGTTCAGGCTCAGGCTCGGCCACGCGGCTCTTTTTCTGGGAGGACTGCAGCAGAGAGGGCAGGGGCTGAGCGGCTCTGCTTGGGTCCTGCTGGGCACCCCACCCCAACCCCTCCCTTGGCCACTGGCTCCTTCCTCTCCCACCTCTCCCCCGCCCCCACCCGGGTGCCCAGTCTCACAGAGTGATTTGAGACCCACCTCTGTTGGATTAGCCCCGGGGCAAACCCACTGGCCGGGCAGGCAGGGCTCTGTGCAGGAGGGGGGAGGGCTGGAGCAGGAGGCAAAACCTCGGGTCAACTTCTCCCAGCGGGAGCTGGGACCCAAACCCCGCCCCCACCCGCCCGCCTGGTCCTGCCCGGCTCGCGACCACCTTCCTCCTGGACCTTTGGGGGACGTGTCCGGCTTATGTCCTAGACTCACACTGGGTCCAGCCCAAGTCCTGCTCCCACTTACTTACCTTACCACCTGCGTCCTGTTCTGCCCTCCCCCCCACCGCCCCCAGGCCAGTGAGAGTTGCCCACAACCACAGCTACATACCAAGTCCCCACAACCAACTCCGCCCTGTCTTTGAGAAGACACCTCTGGTGGGTGGGGGGGGGGGCTCCTACCCAAAGCCCTGGTATTTCCGCCCCAGTTCCTGAAGGCTGGGCATCCCGGGTGGGCCTGCAGGTCGTGATAGCCACCCCTGCCTTGGGGTGGGGTCTCTGGGCACCAGGCGCCTCACCTGACAGCCGGAAGCCTTGACGGCAGGGTTGTTTTCGATCTCCCACAGCCCCTCGCTGAACCCTTTCCTCTTGTTGGGCTTGCCGAACTTCTCCTTGGACTCTTCATATGGGAAGAGGTCTTTGGGGCCCAGGAACGCTCTGGGGGGGGGGCGGAGGGAGACTGCTCTCTAGCTCCTCGCTGCCTCCCAGCGGGCCCGCTTCTTCCCCAGGACTCCCCAGCCAGCACAACCCTCCTCCCGTGTCCTCCCTGCCCAGGCCCCCCCGCTGGCTCCTCACTCACGTCTCATGGGTCCCGAAAAAGAAGACTTGGTATTTGTTGGCTGTGGATTTCACCGCCGCTTCAGGCATCTCGTCGATCTGGGGGTGAAAGAGCACCGCAGTGCAAGGGCAGTGAGCCTGGGGCGGGGGCTGGGCTTGTCTCAGGGGGTTCCGAGGGATGTGCCACAGTGGAATCTTTGTACCGATGCAGCCAGGCAGGCGAGACCACCCAACACCCAGGAATATCACCCCAATTGCTTCCCAACAAATCCAGGACCCCTCTGCAGAGCTCTGACCACTGTCTCTGACCTCCTTGTCCCCACCCATTACAGTGCAGGCTCCATGGCAGTGGGGGCCCTGGCTTGAACACAGCAGTGACTGCTACCACTGCAGGACCCACCTCGCCTCCACCATGTCAAGTCTGGATGCCAGCCATGCGCCCATGTTCCTGTAACCCCGGCTGGATGACTGTTAACCTCGCCCAACCTCCATTTCCTCAATGGCAAAAGAGCCAGTAGTAACCACAGGCCACAGGCTTGTGAGGCCCCATTGCAGGCAGACGCAGGGCGGCCAGCTGGTCCTACGCAAGGGTCAGCCTCCCGGGCAGAACTCGCTCCCAGGACTTCTTCCCAACGCTTTCCCCAATGTCACATAGGAGGGGTCTTCAAATACTTTATGGAAAATCCCATCCTTTCATTCTGTTTTTCCACAAAAGTTTTAAAGCCCCCACATAGTCACAGTGCCCTTGGTTAATGTCTGTCTGGACCAGGCTGGACCGCAGCTCAGGGTCAAGTTTGCGTTTGACCCCAGCACACAGTAGGGACACGAACAGTGTTGACTGGATCAATCGATGAGACAAACAGATGCAGACAGTCTGGGTGGAGAAGAGGGGTGAGGCCAAGGACTGCCTCTTCCAGGCACCCCCTCTATGATTTCCAGGGGACACTTTGAAAGCCACTGAGGGACTCACAGGTTCCCCGTTTTACAGATGAGGAAACCAAGCTCCAGGGACAGAGAGCGAGGGAGGCTGCCACCTACAGGGTCAGCAGTTCAAGACCACCAACTGCTCCACAGAGAGGTGAGGCGTTCTCCATGGGCAGCTATCCTGTCCTACAGGGTCCCTATGAGCCCAGAGTCCACCGGATGGCGGTAAGTGAGAGGTTTTGCACAAGGCAGAGATGAGAGCTAAGCTGCAGACCAACAATTCCAGATTTGATCCCCCCCCTCCAGGAGTCGTGTGGAAAGGGGAGAGGTGGAGGTCAGGAAAATGGAGGGAGCAGGGGCGGTTTCTCCCAGGTCAGGCCTTGGAAGCTGGCAGAGCAAGTTGAGCTGTGGATGAGGGAGGAAACTACAACTCCCAGCACCACTTGCAGCAGCCTGACTTCCCGCCGGACAGAGGCCAGGTGGCCATGTTGCCTGGGGGCCCCAGGCACAGACAGGGCAGGGCAGTGATTAAGGTCCAGAGAAGAGGACAGAGCAGAGCCCATGGAGACAGGAAGGCTGGGTATTAGCAGAGACACACCCAGGGGAGGGGGTGGGAGACCCTGGGCATGAGGACATCTTGCCCCTTCAGGCTCCTGGACACTTCCCCCACTTGGCCCTGTGGCCTCTGGGGACAGCGGTCCAGCCCTTCCCCCCAGGAAGGCCACGCACAAACTGGGCGCTCCCCACGACCAGATGACACTGGGGTGTGAGTGCAGACGGTGGAAAGACTGCTGGTGCCCCCACAAACAAGATCCCCATCGCCATGACAACTCGGCCCCGCCCCAGGGGCCACTCAGCAACCAGGAATGTGGCCGCCCCTCCCCCCGCGCTCTCCCTCCGGATCGGGGAGGAGGGGGCTCTCACACACACACCCCACACCCAGTCTGAAGTCTGGCACCTGGGTCCACGGCTGTGCTGGAAACCACAGCCGGGGCTGGAGGCTGGGCCTCGGCTCAGAAAACCCGGCTGGGCTGGGTGGAGGGGCCGGTGCTCGGCCGGCCAGGACACCTGGGTCCGGTTACCAGCTAGCTCCCCACCCCCTTACTCACAGGGGGGAACCGAAAACAAAATGCGCGCCTCGAGGGCTTAGGGATCCTCAAGACCCCGGAGAAGGGCAATAATAGCACAGCCCTTCCCCGGGCCTCCCGGCCTCGGGTCTACCGGCACCAGGAATCAGCCGGGAGGCTGGGTGTGCATCCGCGAACTTTGATCTCTGCGTTTGCAGGGCCCAGGGCTCAGCCAGGGGCGTAATGTTCGGGTCGCAAAGGTGTGAGCCAAGGGGAGAAACTGAGGCTCAGGAAAAGCGAGTGGGGTGGGAGTCCCCCTCGCCCCAAAATGAGGAAGCACGAGGTTCTCTCAAGGTTCACAGTTACTGCTGAGCAGCCACCAACCATCTGTCTCCTGCCACCCTAGCAGCTAGCTTCCC